TTTTAAAAAAAAAAAAAAAAAAAAAAAAAGGCGCAGACTCTGTTTAACACAGAGAGCCCGATACCTCCCCTCCCCATATCAGTTTCAGCTCCCAGATTTGGGTATTAATTGTAAACGTATCTTGGGAATTTGTTTTCAAGTTATGATCTTTTTAGCTGGGTTTTAGAAATGTAGAAATTTGGAAATTGAATAATCACTATACTTTGCCAATATTCTGGCATAAACATGGTTTTTTGGGGCTCTGTTTTTGTTCAAATTTAAAGTTCATTTCATTAAATTAATTGTCTGAATCATTGATTTGTCTTTTCTAGTATTGTTTTGTTTAAAATCTGTTTAAATTTGATGACCTTTCTGCCATTTTTTGTTCTAATGGCTAGAACAATAGATTTGATGAATTATTGGGCTCTGTTCTTTTTTCAAGTTTTAACTATGTCATTTGGTTCCAAAAATTGATCTTGTTTCTAGGTTTATCAGTTTCTTGAGGATTTTTGTCAATCTTTCGGCATCAATCTTGTTTTAGGATCTATCAATTTCTTGATGATTTTTGTCGATTTGTTTAAACTTGATGAATTATCTGAATCTTTGCGTTCTAAAATCTCCTCCTTATCTAATTTTTCTCGTCTCTTTTTGTTTACAATTTCAGTAAAGCTAGAAACTAGGCAAGTCTTTGCAACTCAATTTCCCATGCTTTCAAGGTACATTGATCAGATGAATGTACCTCAGCTCCGAAATCAATATCAAGTAGCCGTCGGGACGTTGACCCCTGGAAGGAAAATTCCTGGATCCGTCCCTGGTGGTACATAGATGGAAAGAAATTATAATAAAACATTGAGAACCTGCTCGAGTTTACACAGCAATATGAAAGAACATGTAGCCTATTTTGTCTTCAAAGATTTAATTGACTTTTACAAACCATAGAATGTTTACCAAGATAGTTTTATAATGAGCCAATACACACTAACAAAGTTACATCACCACATGTGAGTTAGCTACGACCACTAATGGATTCAAGAATTTTTAAGGACGTGGCAATATTTAAAAAGTAAGACTGAAAAAAAAGATAATCAAATACCCTTAGGCCTATAATTAATTGACTATAGTCTATATTGTATATCTAATATGAACAAAATTCATGTGAATTTATACAATAATTATCAAAATTCATATTAAATCATCAATTAATCTAATCAAAATGAAAATCAAATTATCAATTAAACAAATAAATCATAATTAATCATAACTCGCAAAATTGTGCGCTGCGCAACTTCTTCCTTCTCGAGTATGTTACTGATCATACTAATACATAGAAAGCCAAAGAAAAAAAGACATATTATTAATAAAAAAACATAAAGAAAAAAACTACATTCGAAGTTGAAGTCTGAAGCAGCAAGAGCCTCCTCCTTTTCAAGGCCACGCCCACGCCAGACTTCTTCAAGGCTTCTCTTTAATGGGAATTTAAATCAAATTAGTCTTCTTCGAGAGTTAGAGTTTGAACGCA